CACACCACACGTACTCCACACACACCACGTACTCCACACACACACACCACACGTACTCCACACACACACACCACACATACTCCACACACACACACCACACGTACTCCACACACACACACCACACGTACTCCACACACACACACCACACGTACTCCACACACACACACACCACACACACCCCACACACACACACCACACGTACCCCACACACACACACCACGCGTACTCCACACACACACACCACACGTACTCCACACACACACCCCACACGTACTCCACACACACACACCACACGTACTCCACACACACACACACCACACGTACTCCACACACACACACCACACGTACTACACACACACACACCACACGTACTCCACACACACACACCCCCACGTACTCCACACACACACACCACACGTACTCCACACACACACCCCACACGTACTCCACACACACACACACCACACGTACTCCACACACACACACCACACGTACTCCACACACACCACACGTACTCCACACACACACACACACCACACGTACTCCACACACACACACCACACGTACTCCACACACACACACCACGTACTCCACACACACACCACACGTACTCCACACACACACCACACGTACTCCACACACACACATCACACGTACTCCACACACACACACCACACGTACTCCACACACACACCACACGTACTCCACACACACACCACACGTACTCCACACACACCACACGTACTCCACACACACACACACACACCACACGTACTCCACACACACACACCACACGTACTCCACACACACCACACGTACTCCACACACACACACCACACGTACTCCACACACACACCACACGTACTCCACACACACACCCCACACATACTCCACACACATCACACAACACGTACTCCACACACACACCACACGTACTCCACACACACACACACCACACGTACTCCACACACACACACCACATCGTACTCCACACACCACACATCACCACACGTACTCCACACACACACCACACTTACTCCACACACACACACACCACACGTACTCCACACACACACCACACGTACTACACACACACACAACCACACGTACGCCACACACACACAACACGTACTCCCACACACACACACCACACGTACTCCACACACACACTACACGTACTCCACACACACACACACCACACTACTCCACACACACACTACACGTACTCCACACACACACTACATGTACTCCACACACACACACCACACGTACTCCACACACACACTACACGTACTCCACACACACACACCACACGTACTACACACACACAACACCACACGTACTCCACACACACACTACACGTACTCCACACACACACACCACACGTACTCCACACACACACTACACGTACTCCACACACACACACCACACGTACTCCACACACACACACTACACGTACTCCACACACACACCACACGTACTCCACACACACACACACACACGTACTCACACATTCACACACACGTACTCCCACACACACACACCACACGTACTCCACAATCACACACAGTACTCCCACTACCACACCACACGACTACACACACAACACGTACTCACACACACACACCAACGTACTCCCAACAACACACCAACGTAATCCACACACACACCACACGTACTCCACAAACACACACCACACGTACTACACACACACACACGTAATCCACACACACACACCCACACGTACTCCACACACACCACACGTACTCCACACACACACAAGTACTCCACACCACATACACACCACACGTACTACACACACACACACACACGTACTCCACACACACAACGTACTCCACACATACACCACATGTACTCCACACACACACACACCACACGTACTCCACACACACCACACCACACGTACTCCACACACACACACACACACACCACACGTACTCCACACACACACACACACCACACGTACTCCACACACACACACCACACGTACTCCACACACACACACACCACACGTACTCCACACACACACACACCACACGTACTCCACACACACACACACCACACGTACTCCACACACACACACACACCACACGTACTCCACACACACACAACACACACCACGTACTCCACACACACACACACCACACGTACTCCACACACACACACACCACACGTACTCCACACACACACACACCACACGTACTCCACACCACACACACACCACACGTACTCCACACACACACACACCACACGTACTCCACACACACACCACACGTACTCCACACACACACACCACACGTACTCCACACACACACACACCACACGTACTCCACACACACACACACACACCACGTACTCCACACACACACCACACGTACTCCACACACACACACACCACACGTACTCCACACACACACACCACACGTACTCCACACACACACACCACACGTACTCCACACACACACACCCACACGTACTACACACACACACACCACACGTACTCACACACACACACACGTACTCCACACAACACACACCACACGGACGCACACACCACACACACCACACGTACTACACACCACCACACCACACGTACTACCCAACACACCACACGTACTCCACACACACACCACACACACCCCACACGTTACTCCCACACACACACCACACGTACTACACACACACACCACCACGTACTCCACCCACACACACCCACAACCCACACGTGACTCCACACACACACAACACACGTACTACACACACACCACCACACCGTAACTCCACCACACACACCACACACACCCCAACACGTACTCCACACAACACACCACCCGTACTACACACACACACCAACACGTACTCCACACACACACATCCACACGTACTCCACAGTTCACACACTCACCCACCACACGATACTCCACACACACACACACCACCACACCTACTCCACCACACACACACCACATGTACTACCCACACACACACAACACCACACATACTCCACCACACCACACCACAATGTACTCCACACACACCACACCACACGTACTCCACACACACACACACACCACACGTACTCCACACACACACACGTACTCCACACACACACACCCAACACGTACTCCACACACACACACACCCAACACGTACTCCACACACACACACACACCACACGTACTCCACACACACACACGTACTCCACACACACACACCCAACACGTACTCCACACACACACACACCACACGTACTCCACACACACACACCACACGTACTCCACACACACCCACACGTACTACACACTCACACACACCCAACACGTACTCCACACACACACACCCAACACGTACTCCACACACACACACACCACACGTACTCCACACACACACACCACACGTACTCCACACACACCACACGTACTCCACACACACCACACCACACGTACTCCACAAACATACACACACACGTACTCCACACACACACACACCACACGTACTCCACACACACCACACGTACTCCCACACACACACACACACCACACGTACTCCACACACACACACACCACACGTACTCCACACACACACACCACACGTACTCCACACACAAACACACGTACCTCCACACACACACAACCACGTACTCACCAACACACACAACACGTACTCCACACACACACATGTACTCCACACACACACACACCACACGTACTCCATTACACCCACACACCACAATACTACACAACACAACACACGTACTCCATCACACAAACACACCACACGTTACGCCACACACACAAACCCACACGTACTCCCCACACACACCAAACTTACTGAACCACGTAATCCACACACACCACACCACACGTACTCCACACACAACACCACGTACTCCACACACCAACCCACGTACTACACACACACACACACATACTCCACACACACACAACCACACGTACTCCACCACATACACCACACGTACTTCCACACACACACACCACACGTACTCCCACCACACACACCACACGTACTCCACACACACACACACCACACGTACTCCACAACACAACACCCACCGTACTCCACACCACACCACCACACGTAATCCACCTACATCAACACCACACGTACTCCACACACACACACCACACGTACTCCACACACACACACCACACGTACTCCACACACACACACCACACGTACTCCACACACACACACACACCACACGTACTCCACACACACACACACCACACGTACTCCACACACACACCCCACACGTACTCCACACACACACACCACACGTACTCCACACACACACCACACGTACTCCACACACACACACCACACGTACTCCACACACACACCACACGTACTCCACACACACACACCACACGTACTCCACACACACACACCACACATACTCCACACACACACACCACACGTACTCCACACACACACACCACACGTACTACACACACACACCACACGTACTCCACACACACCACACGTACTCCACACACACACACACCACACGTACTACACACACCCCACACGTACTCCACACACACACCCCACACGTACTCCACACACACACACCACACGTACTCCACACACACACACCACACGTACTCCACACACACACACACACCACACGTACTCCACACACACACCACATGTACTACACACACACCACACGTACTCCACACACACACACCACACGTACTACACACACCCCACACGTACTCCACACACACACCCCACACGTACTCCACACATACACACCACACGTACTCCACACACCCTCACCCTCCCGCGTCCCGTCGCCGCGACTGCCAACTCCCCTCCTCATTTGCTTCCCTCACCCACACCAACCCCCACCCTCCCTCCATTTAAAGAGTCAACACTATGGATCCATTGCATATTTGATCGTGACCTTTACCCCCCCACCCGCACCCAACTCCACCCCCGCCCCCCGCCCCCAGGCGTGATCCGCACGGCGCTGCCCAACATGGACCGCGAGGTCCGCGACTCCTACAAGCTCGTGGTGGAGGCCAAGGACATGGCCGGGCAGCGCGGGGGCCTCACCGGCACGACCACCGTCAGCGTCTCCTTGGGGGACATCAACGACAACCCCCCGAGATTCACCAGGAGTGAGCACACGCACCCACATACACACACTGTCAACACATACGGTTTACCCCGTATTCTTGTACAGGGGAATTGAGTTTTCAGAACCATACGGCTCACAGCCGTTTTAATACGGGCAAAAAACTAAATTGTTGTCTATGTTTTTGTGCTTCTCCCTTGTAATGGGACATTGTAGGATGGACATTGAGATGACTGATATTATGGGCGATGCACCACCTGTGCCCCCTACTGTGCCAACTTGCTGTGTTTTAGCCGGTCGGTGCTCCGCTCCTTTTTGTGAGCGTCACTCCTCCGCCCTCCGTTGTTGTTGAAGGTCGACTGCCTCCAACTGCCAAGTAGCGTCCTTCTCGAGCCTCCTCCACAGAGGCCGATCTTGATACCGCTGGTACCAGTCATTGGCAAGTCCACTCAGCTCCACATCCTCGTGTACCACATCACTCCATCTCTTCTCTAGCCCGTGCCACACCCGTATAGCCCCTTGGATCCAGCCAAACAAAAGCTGTTTAAGCATGCGGTGGCTGGGCATGCGGGCTACGTGACCCAGCCAACACAGCCTTGCCTGCCGGAGGAGCTCACCAATGGGACTTTGTCCAGATCTTTCAAGGATATTTGAGCTCCTCACACAATCCAGCCTGGTTAAACCCAGGATGGATCATAGGCAGGCCAGCCTAAATGTTTCTTACTGGCAAAGATGTTCTGTTAGGGGTGTCCACGTTTCGCAAGCGTAGAGAAGGGAGGGAATGACTGTGGCCGAGAAGACCTGAAGCTTCTTGCGGAGCGACAGACCAGGTAGCTTCCACACAGCGTTACGCAACCGATGAAAATATAATGCCGCTCGACTGATTCGGAGTGAGACCTCTGCTGTCAAACCGGAGCTGATCATGAGCACACTGCCCAAGAATGGGAATCTCTCCACTCTCTCCACAACTGCCCTATCACCAATTGGGAGTTGTGGTGGTGGAGTGTCCGATGGTACAAAATAACCAGGCAGGTGCTTAGTGTTGGTGGGGCTGATGGTAAGTCCCCACCTCTTAGTGACAAGCTCCAGGTTCAGCAGCAGCCCCTCCAACTCCTCAGATTGAGCAGCAATTACCAGATCATCGGCATACACAAAATGGTTGAGCAATAGGGAGCCATCCCTTGACTGCACCCGGGCATCGATCAGTGTCCCATTGTATCTGTACCAGATGGAAATTCCTCCGGTACAGCTATTGAAGGCTTCACGAACTACGTGGTCGAAATAGATGTTTAATAATGTGGGAGCCAGAGGACATCCCTGTCGCACCCCAAGGTGAACAGAGAATGTCTCCGACTCCCGGCCACGTAGTTTTACCTGGTCCCGCTCACCATCATGATGGTCCTTAATGATCATGAGCAGCAGGTCATGGTATCATAGGCCTTGGCCAGGTCAATAAAGCAGAGATGTAGGTCTTGTTGGAATTCCCTATACCTCTAGTGTAGCAGATGGACAGAAAATATGGCATCTGTGCAGGACCGCCCTTTCCTGAAACCACATTGGGACTCTACAAACCTCTCCTCAGCATGCCTAGCAAGGCGATGTTGAATAATCCTTGCCAGGACCTTTCCCGGCACACTGAGGAGTGAGATGCCCCTGTATTTGGTACAGTCTGTGCAGTCCCCCTTCTTAAAAAGGGGGACCACTAGGGCATCCTTCCAATCCTGTGGAACCCATCCAGTGGTCCAGAATGTTGTTATGATGTGATGTAGGGCAGTCTGTGCACAAACGCCACCCTCCTTCAACATTTCGCTTGGGAGATCATCTCTGCCTGGTGCCTTTTCTGGTCTTAGGCTCTGGATCGCCCTCAGTACTTCCTCAACAGATGGCACCTCAGCCAGCCACTCACAGGGGGTGACTTCTTCCCATACTTGTGTAATAAGAGCCTATGTCCGGCTCACGTGGTGATCGGATCTGCCGGTCCCGCTTTACAGCCAATGGGGGGAGAGCCTGGGAGCATGGCCTCGGCGTGATCACGGGATGTCAGCTAGGGTGATTGGTTCTGCTGGTCTTGGCCTCAGCCAATGGGAAGACAAGTCAGGGGCGTGGTCCCGGGAGTTGATGATGGGGGGATCTGGAACATTCGGCGCAGGCTATTAAGGATTGGCTGGAGTGTACCACGTGACCCAGGCGTTAAATAAGGGGATAGAGGAGAGACACGGGGTCAGACACAGAACTAAGAGAGGGAGAGGCCACGCGCGAGTGGGGCTCCGGGTGCCACGTGGCGGTGCGTCTCTTGTGGGCTGTCTGCCCGCTTCTCATTGCCTGCCAGCAACGGGGAGTGTTTGTGAACTGAAGAAGTGAAATAAAAGGACCGATTCCACAAGCCGTCTCCAGGAGGTTTATTACACTTGTTCAGCAAATCTGAAAACCTGTTCCTGGGGGTCAAAGATTGGATCATTGTTCTTTTCCCTAATGATGGTAATAGATGTGGTGCTGCAGGTTACTTTTTTGATGGAGTGAAGGCTGTGGTAAGCCTCCTTATTCTCTCATGTGGGATGCTGTAGATGACCTGAACACCTCCTCTGTCAGGCAGGGTCTCTGGAGAGGTCTGGTCCATGTACTCAAAGCAGCCATTGCGGCTGCATAAGCCACAGTCCTAAACCTCGCCCATTTCACCCTCGACATCAGGAGGAGTGGGGGACGGTGCCAACCCCAGCCACAAGCGAAGATAAAATTCTCGCTTGCTAATTTCATCAGCTAGCTGAGACCATGCCACTATGGGTTTGAATGGGGTCCTGGAAGAATGGCAGGCTGCATCTACAGATGACAAGTCGATGGTCAGTGGGCAGATTAGCTCCACGGTAGGTCCTGGTGTCAAGGACATGGGCCCGCATCCACTGTTCCGTCATTATGTAGTCCAGCAGATGTTCTTGCTGGGACCCGTCATACATCCATGATGTTGTGTGGATGCGCCAATGCCAGAACAGTGTGTTGGTAATTACAAGCCCATAGGCTGCACACAAATCTAGCAGCCTCCTACCGTTGTTTTTGAGCTGATCTGGCCCATGCCTTCCAATCACTCCAGACCAAGTGCTAGCATCATGACCAACTCGGGCATTGAAGTCACCCATTAAGATTACTCTATCCCGAGGGGCCACTTTAGCCAGCACCTGTGACAGGAGGTCATAGAAGGCCTTGCCTGCATCCCTCCATGGATGTTCATCTTCGGTGGAGGCATAAGTAACCACGATCACCACTCCTCGCCTCTGGTTGATGGGAAGGCGAGCCCAAAGTAGTCTGGGGGTTACAGCTTCCTACACCTCACCGCCACACTCCCACGCCTCCTTCATTCTTTTGTTCAGAAGAAGATCCACTCCCTGTTGTTTGGTAGTCTCCTGCCCCGAGTAGAAGACTGTCCACCCCTCATGGTGGCAGGAGCCAGAGCCGGTCCACCGGACCTTCTGAATACCGCAGAGATCCAGGCGGTACCGGTCCAGCTCCCGACAGAGGCAGTGTCAGCCTCTCTGCCGCAGTGAGCGTTCGAACATTCCACGTGGCCATCCCTAGATGCTTTTTGTTGCTTCTGGAGGAGCCCCGAAGATAACGATTCAGTCTCCTGGCTCCGCCAAATGGGGTTTGGCCAGGAGACGTCATGGACGTCTCATCATCAGCAGCAGCGGAATAGCCAGACTCGCTTGCCCACTTACTGAGCCAATGCGGCTGCCCGATGTTGTTTGAGACCAGGTCCCGGATAACTGGACCTCTGTGAAGATGAGCTTTATAGCTTATCGGATTCCTCCAGCAAAAATAAAAATTCTGACAGATCTGGGTTCCAGAAAATATGTACCACACACACTGTACATACAAGCGGTTGTACTTAACCTACTCCTCCACGCTGGCCGGTACCGCTTGGAAGAGGTGGGAGTACCCACACCGCCCCGACTGCCAGCAGAGGCGGTGGAGTGCGGTTTACAGAGAACGCCACGTGCCATTTGGCTCAACCGCCACGTGCCAATTGGCTCAACCGCCACGTGCCAGGAGACGGACATACAGGGGGACCGGCTTGTGGCCCCGAAGGGGGTGCAGACACCTCGTGAGAAGGCATCTCCAGACTCGGCGAGGCTCTCGCGGCGTCTGCGATGATGACGACGCAGCAAGGGAGGGGGAGAGGGGGGACGAGGGGAGGGGCCTGGCGCTCGCACCCGGTCTGCTTCCCCCCGCACCACCCTGCGCCACTCGCATCGCCCTTCACTTTAACTCCCTTCCTCTCTCCCCCGTCTCCCTCCCCTCTCCCCATCTCCCTCCCCTCTCCCCATCTCCCTCTCTCTCCATATCCATCTCTCCCCTTCTCCCCATTTGTATCCCCGTACCCTGTACCACCCCCACACGCTCCCTCCCTACCTCCCCCCATTCTACCCCCCCCCCTCCGTGCCCCCCTCCCCCAGACACGTACCAGATGTCCGTGTCGGAGTTAGCCCCCGTGGGCACCACGGTGGGGGGGGTGCTCGCCACGGATGCGGACGTGGGAGAGAATGCGCGCTTCTCGTACAGCATCGTAGGGGGCAGCGACACCTTCAACATCCGCACCGAGGCCGGCTCGCGCGAGGGGTTCATCACCCTCAAGCAGGTGACGCCGGGGGTGGGGGCGGGAGGGGGGTAGGAGGGGAACGGGGGGGTAAGGGGGACAAGGGGCATCATCATCCCGGAGGGCAGTAGGGGCAGGGGGGGGCAGGGGGGTTCATCACCCTCAAGCAGGTGACACGGGGGAGCGGGGGGGGCAGGGGGTGTAAAAGCACATTGGGGGATGGGTTGCTCGAGTAGTGGCTAGGCCGGCACCAGGGTGACGCGCCAACGATCCCGTGACATTGTCGGCACGAGTCGGCCGCTGGGTGCTGGCATCAGGCCCTGAGGAGCCACCATTAAATCTCTCCCCGAGCTCTGCGCTCCTCTGTATGTGAAGGCGTTCTCAGACCATTTGGCCGAAAACGCCTTCACATACAGAGGGCCGTGTGGGAGGAAAGTGGAGTGCCAGGAGAAACCCACGCATTGCACGAGCAGGCAAGGCTCTATCCTCGTACAGATGGAAAAAGATGGAGATGAGTCCACTCGCAGTGCCGCCTTCTCCTGGCGAGCCGGGGCACAGGCTCCTCCTCGACGCCCACGGGGAAGGGAGTTTCACCGCCCATCTGTGTGTGCTCCACCAACCCTCGCTGGTGACTCCACAGCGCTGGGTAACAGCAGCCACGTGCAGCGTGGCCACCACCACTACCGCCACCACCACCACCTCCAACACGACCACCTCCACCAGCCAACACCACCGCCACCACTGCCACCACCGCCACCACCGCCACCACCACGGATGCTGGCAAGCGATCACGATCCCGATGATGATGTGACCCCCCCCCCCCCCCACCAGCCGCTGGACTACGAGAGCCGCCGCTCCTACTTCCTCAAGGTGGAGGTGCAGGGCCCAGGCCCCGAGGGCCGCGCCGCCGCCGCCGTAGGCCCCTTCCGCGATGCCACGAGCGTCACGGTGTCGGTGGACGACGGCGACGAGGCCCCGGCCTTCTCCCCGGCCGAGCGCTCGCTGGAGCTGCGCGAGGACGCGGCGCGCGGCCGCCTCCTGGCCACGCTGGTGGCCCGAGACCCCGACACTGCCGGCGTGCCTGTCAGGTGACCACCCCGCTCGCTCGCTCGCTCGCCAGGAACTCGCTCGCTTGTCGCTCGCTAGCCCTGCCGCTCGTTATCTGGCTTAAAAAGCCAACCGCTGTACAAGTCCGGTCCCTCGGTGGTGTTATTGTTGGTGGTGGTGTGGCTCTCCCTCTCGGTGGTCATATTCTCGTTGGGGGTGGTGTTGTGGGCTGACCTCCGGTGGTGGTGGTGGTCCGACTAACCCCTGGTGGTGTGACTGACCCCCCCCCCCCCCCCCCCCCAGGTATTCCATCGACCGCAGCACGGACCCGGAGGGCCACTTCCAGATCGACGAAAGCAGCGGTGCGCTGACGCTGGCGCGGGAGCTCGACCGGGAGACGCGCGCATGGCACAACCTCTCGGTGATCGCCACGCAGACCGGTGGGTGCGGCGACAACCGCAACGCCGAGCACACGCTCGGGCGCAGAGAGCCCAGATAGCCCACGCGCGCCGCTGGGGCAAGAGCGCGCCAGCGGACGCCCCCTCCCTCCCCTGCGAACGTGCGGGAGGTCGTGGTGAGGCTGGGAACGCCGTGGTCTGTCCACTGCTAGATGAAAGCCTCGGCTTGCTCATCACTACTGAGGGAGGGGGAGAGAGAGTGGGAGACACGCAGAGAAAGAGGGGGGGGGAGTGAGAGACACACAGAGAGAGAGGGGGGGAGAGTGGGAGACACACAGAGGGGGGTGGGGAGAGTGGGAGACACAGAGACTTTTTTTACTTTTAAACAACTTTTATTGCCGCCAGCAGCAACAGCACTGGAGGCGATTCCGATATGAAATACACAGTCACCAGCAAACAAATACATGCTATAAATCCACGCGCTGTGGCGCTAAATGCACCGTGCACAACACGAAAGAAAAGTCACTTAGTGGCGGTGGTCATCGCGCACGCCACGGTGACGAGTGAGCGCTTCAGAAGGTGAACATGAGGGGGCTCCCCAGCGTTTGAAGAAGACGTGTACATCACCGACATGTGTGTGGTATGCGTGCTCCAGCCGGAGCCGCACCTTGAGCAGGCCCCTGAACACTGGAAACAGCACAGAGCAGCCGTCAGTGTCACCTTCCAGATTATTTTTCCTCGTTCTGTACACCGCCATCTTCGCCTGAGCACAGGCGAAGTTGGCGAAGTCATGACGCTTGTTCGCCAGGTAAGGCACCACCCCATATACGAAGCTGCTGTTGTAGAAGGGCACCCCCAGTTTCGTGAAGATGTCCCCCAAAAGGCGGAACATTGGTTTGAGCCGCTGGCAGTGTAAGTACTGGTGGGGCAGATCCTCCCTGGCACCGCAGGAAATGCACAAGTCTGTTACCCCTGGCGAGATTCAAGTTCAAGTTCATTTATTAGGTATAGCCCTGTGAGCCATTCGGCTCTTGAATCGGGTGCAACCGCAACAAACAAAAAACTAAAACATGAACAAAAAACATCTTAAAGTGAATATGTGACTGAGTGCAAACAGAAAATCTAGGAAAAGACAGTAAAATATTGCAGAAAAAGCACCGTACACAAAAATGTGCAAAAATCCCAGTGGGATGCAAGTCAAACAACAACAACCACAAGACAACTTAGATTAAGGACATCAGTCTAACTCTGTACTACAACAAACAAGCATGGCTAAACCAAAAAACTTATCGAAAAACACCAAAATAAAGCCATAAAAGCAATGAAACAGTGGTCATAGGAACTGTGACCGAATTTTCACAATAAACGACGTAAACAACATGTACTACCAAACTCTGCAGCCATAGCTGGCTGCATGAGTCACTCCACAACAGTAGGAGCATCAGTCGGAGTATCAACATTTTTCAATGCACCTTTAAGATCAGCACACTAAATCAAAACACAGATTTCATTTAGTTTGGCTGAGCCACACAGCCGAAGGCAACGTGCAGTGTGCCAATCTCCACTGGAGGTCACCGCAGCATTTGGCTACGGGAGACTTGTACATTTGTTTCCATTGAGAGGCGGCTGCAATAAGGGTAAAGAAATTGTCTCTCCATTTTGTGTCCAGTAGGTAGGCCAGGTCCCGGGAATGCAGCGCCTTGACACAGCACGTGTAGAGCGCCTTGACACAGCACGTGTAGAGCGCCTTGACACAGCACGTGTAGAGCGCCTTGACACAGCACGTGTAGAGCGCTGTGTTCGGGGCACTCTTCAGGGGCAAGTTCCTGCAGCCTCGGAGCTTCAGTAGCTTGCCAGAGTCGCTGTGGCCAGGGGGGCTGCGCACAGGAGAAGCACAACTCCGGGAAGGAGAAGGAGGGGGGGGGAGGGCCGCCACCATCCCCCGGTGCCTCCAGCTTCAGCCGCAGCTCCTGCATGGCACGGAGCACGTCCCACAGCAGCTTCTCGCCAGCGAGCATGGAGCGGAGCCCTGCGGTGCTGGCGATCTCAGCTGCGGTTTTCCACTTGAACTGATGGGCCTGCACGAGGTGGAAGACTATCCGCAGCCCTGCTGATGTGAGGCGTAGAGCCAGGGTCCTCTCTCCTCTGATCCCCTGGAAGAGGCCGTTGCAGAACAAGGGCTCGTTCAGGAACTGCGCGAGGTCGTAGGGCGCACGCGTTCTGCTCCACTCGAAGCTCCGCCACGCGTCCAAAAGGCTCTCGTGATAACCTGGCAGCCTCGTGTAGTCAACCAATCTGAGGTTCATCAGGAAGAGCTCTTTTCCGTACCCCAGACACCCCCCTGCATTCCTCAGCAGGGCGAGGGCTGGCGACTTCCAGGGTAGCTCCTCCCGGTCGTAAAGCAGCCGCCTGACTGCCATGAGCCTGAAACTCGTGACCCTGGCGGCGATGTCCACCAGACCCTGGCCGCCCTTGCCCACTGGCAGGCAGAGAACGCCTGGCCTGAACCAGTGCTTCTCATGGCAGACGAAGTGCACGAGTGAGTGGTTGACTGGTTAGTAGCCAAGCAGGAGGCTGGAGGGACTTGGATGCTGCCAGGGTGTTAGCGACGAGCACTCAGCCCCTGAATGACATCTGCGGAGCGAGGCATGCCCATGTCAGTAATTTAGCCTCAATTGTGTCGGCCAGCTCGGTCCTGTTATTCAGAGCGACTTGTGGTTTCCCCAGGTAAACCCCCAGGTACTTGACTCCGTCGTCCCGCCAACTGACTCCTCCTGGGAGGAGCACAGAGCGAACGCCGCCTCACGACCCCAAACACAGGGCCTCGCACTTGGCCCAGTTGACCCTGGCGGAGGAGGCCCTCTCGTACACTGCAACCGCACACAGAGAGAAAGGGGGGGGGGAGAGTGAGAGGCACACAAAGAGAGGGGGGGGAGTGGGAGACACAGGGAGAGGGGGGGTGAGTGGGAGACACAGAGAGAGAGTTTCACATTGAGTCTGTGCAACCACGTTATACCTCGACAGAGACCAGGACCCCTCAACTTCACCTGCCCCCTGCTCCCCTGCCCCCCACTATGCCCCCCCCCCCCCCCCCGTGCGGTGCGTGTAGATGAGGCGGCGCTGTCTGGCCGGGGCCGCGTGTCTCTGCGCGTTCTGGACGTCAACGACAACGCCCCTGTGCTGCAGCTGCCGGCAGAGGCGCTCGTCTGTGAGGGGGCGCGCGCTGGACAGGTGGGGGGCCCGGCGGAGGGGGGCAGGGGGTGCAGGGGGGGCAGGTGACACTCGCGCCACCTCCCGGCCACAAGCGCCTGGGTTCGGATCCCAACTCGGGCGTCCACTCAGTGTGGAGTTTGTGCGCTCTCCCCCTGTTCGGCAGAGTGTGAGCCTGTGACTGAGAGTCTGTGAGTGAAAGTGTCTGTATGTGAGTGAGTCTATGAGTGACAGTGTGAGTGAGTGAATGAGTCAGCAAGAGGGTGGAGTGTGGGGAGCAGTGGCGCAGTGATCAGCACGCTGCACTACAAACCCGGTCACCCGAGTTCAATTCCCACTCACGGCCATTAGTGACATTCATCTCAACCGGTCATGGACCTCTCTCAAGGTCGACTCAGCCCCAAATGGGTACTTGGTGCGGAGAGTAAACATCGCTACTGAGAGCCCAAGGCGGTCGGACGTGGTGCTGACCACCCACCCCCTCCTTTGCTACTCGCTGAAAGCACTTGTCCCAACAGTCTGCTAAGGCTACACACGGGGTCTTTGTCTTGGGAGTGTGTACGATATCCCGTGTTCCTGCACGGCTTTCCTCCTGCCGTTCGCACACAGAGAGGCAACTGAGGCCACCCCTCATGCCACGCAGGGTCAGCTGCCACGAGGGGCCCCCATGCACCGAGCGAGAGAGAGTCACTGTGAGTGGGGAGGGGGGTGAGAGAGAGTCACTGTGAGTGTGGAGGGGGTGAGAGAGAGTCACTGTGAGTGGGGAGGGGGGGTGAGAGAGAGTCACTGTGAGTGGGGAGGGGGGGTGAGAGAGAGTCACTGTGAGTGGGGAGGGGGGGTGAGAGAGTCACTGTGAGTGGGGAGGGGGGAGAGAGAGAGTCACTGTGAGTGGGGAGGGGGTGAGAGAGAGTCACTGTGAGTGGGGAGGGGGGTGAGAGAGAGTCACTGTGAGTGGGGAGGGGGGGGGAGGGAGAGGCACTGTGAGTGGGGAGGGGGGTGAGAGAGAGTCACTGTGAGTGGGGAGGGGGGGGGGTGAGAGAGTCACTGTGAGTGGGGAGGGGGGGTGAGAGAGTCACTGTGAGTGGGGAGGGGGGAGAGAGAGAGTCACTGTGAGTGGGGAGGGGGGTGAGAGAGAGTCACTGTGAGTGGGGAGGGGGGTGAGAGAGAGTCACTGTGAGTGGGGAGGGGGGGGGGTGAGAGAGTCACTGTGAGTGGGGAGGGGGGTGAGAGAGAGTCACTGTGAGTGGGGAGGGGGGGAAAAGAGAGAGTCACTGTGAGTGGGGAGGGGGGTGAGAGAGAGTCACTGTGAGTGGGGGAGGGGGGTGAGAGAGAGTCACTGTGAGTGGGGAGGGGGGTGAGAGAGAGTCACTGTGAGTGGGGAGGGGGGTGAGAGAGAGTCACTGTGAGTGGGGAGGGGGGAAAAGAGAGAGTCACTGTGAGTGGGGAGGGGGGTGAGACAGAGTCATTGTGAGTGGGGAGGGGGGTGAGAGAGAGTCACTGTGAGTGGGGAGGGGGGTGAGAGAGAGTCACTGTGAGTGGGGAGGGGGGGAGAGAGAGTCACTGTGAGTGGGGAGGGGGGGAGAGAGAGTCACTGTGAGTGGGGAGGGGGGTGAGAGAGAGTCACTGTGAGTGGGGAGGGGGGGTGAGAGAGAGTCACTGTGAGTGGGGAGGGGGGGGAGAGAGAGTCACTGTGAGTGGGGAGGGGGGTGAGAGAGAGAGTCACTGTGAGTGGGGAGGGGGGTGAGAGAGAGTCACTGTGAGTGGGGAGGGGGGGGATGAGAGAGTCACTGTGAGTGGGGAGGGGGGTGAGAGAGAGTCACTGTGAGTGGGGAGGGGGGTGAGAGAGAGTCACTGTGAGTGGGGGAGGGGGGTGAGAGAGAGTCACTGTGAGTGGGGAGGGGGGTGAGAGAGAGTCACTGTGAGTGGGGAGGGGGGGGAGAGAGAGTCACTGTGAGTGGGGAGGGGGTGAGAGAGAATCACTGTGAGTGGGGAGGGGGGTGAGAGAGAGTCACTGTGAGTGGGGAGGGGGGTGAGAGAGAGTCACTGTGAGTGGGGAGGGGGGTGAGAGAGAGTCACTGTGAGTGGGGAGGGGGTGAGAGAGAGTCACTGTGAGTGGGGAGGGGGGTGAGAGAGAGTCACTGTGAGTGGGGAGGGGGGTGAGAGAGAGTCACTGTGAGTGAGGAGGGGGGTGAGAGAGAGTCACTGTGAGTGGGGAGGGGGGTGAGAGAGAGTCACTGTGAGTGGGGAGGGGGGTGAGAGAGAGTCTCTGTGAGTGGGGAGGGGGGGGGGGGTGATGGAGCGGTGGTGTAGCGGTTCGCGCGTTGCACTACGAACCCGCGACCCAAGTTCGATTCCCGTTCACGGCCAACACGAGTGACGATTATCTGAATCGGTTCTGGGCATCACCTAGGTCGACTTAGCCTCAACTGAGTATCTGGTGTTATGTGTGTTAAAAAAACATTACCACAAGGGAGACAAAGGCGGCTGGGCGTGGTGTTAGCCACCCACCCCCTCGCGTGCCGTGCTGGCCTTCATAGGTGCTCGCTAACTGCACTCGCCTCAACAGTTTGTTAAGGCTACACGGGGGATATAGCCTTGTGTTTGTTGGGGGCGAGGAGGTGATGATGATGACGACCTCGCCACTGCACACACACAGCTGGTGTACACGCTGAGTGCGCGCGACGAGGACGAGTCGTCACCCCCCTCCGGCTTCCGCTTCTCGCTCAACCCAGACTCCTCCGACAACTTCACCCTGCGGGACAACCTCAGTGAGTGGCCACCACCCCCCGCTCCTCCTGCTACGCGTGTCCACCCCTCACACGCATCACCCCCCCCCCCCTCCGCGTGACCCCCACGTGTCCCATCACCTCACACGTCCCTCTCATTCTTCTCCTCCCTCTCATCTCCCTCTCTCCACCCCCCGGCCCTCTCCCCGTAGACGGCACGGCCGCCCTCTTCACCCGCCGCCGCCTCTCGGGCCGCGCCGGCGGCGCCGCGGCCGGCGCCGCCGGGGGGGGGCTGCTGCTGCCGCTGGGGGTGTCCGTGTCGGACGGAGGGGGCCCCCCGGGGCCGCGCTCCACCACGGGGACGCTGGCGGTGCGCCTGTGCGCCTGCGCCGAGCGCGACGGCGCCCTGCACGCGGCCTGCAGCGCCCAGCAGCCCGTCGTGGTGCTCGCCGGAGTCGGCGCCGAGGCCCTCGTCGCCCTCCTCGCCTGCATCCTCATCCTCCTCGGTGCGTGGGTGGGGGGTAGGGGGGTCGGGCCCATCATCACGGAGGGGGTGGGTAAAGCGAGCGAGCTCCGGGGGGCATCGCCGACGCGCGGCGGTTCGTCCCGTGCGGAGAGATCGTGGTCCGGCGCCGTAGGAACGTGGAGTGCCCCCCCCTCCCCTCTCGCTCCCCTCCCCCGCCCCTCCCCCGCCCCTCCCCCGCCCCTCCCCCGCCACCGCAGTGCTCGTCGTGCTCTTCGTCGCCCTGCGCCGTCGCCGGAAGGAGCCGCTGGCAGCGGCCTGACGAGGAGGAGATCCGGGAGAACATCATCGCGTACGACGACGAGGGCGGCGGGGAGGAGGACACGCGCGCCTTCGACATGAGCGCCCTGCGCACGCTGCAGGCCGCCTCGTCCGCCTCGTCCGCCAACCCCTCCTCCTCCACCGCCTTCAACAACGCCGCCGCCGGCACCGCCGCCGCCGGCAACAACAACGCCGGCGCCGCCGCCGGCGCGCTGTGCTGCTTGCGCCAGGACGTCCCTCCCGTCGTGGTCGGGCCCCAGCAGAAGCTGGGCCCACCTCCTCCTCCTCCAGCTGCCCCTTCCACCACCACCAGCAGCAGCACGAGTCATCACCATCATCATTACCACCACCACCAGCAGCAGCAGCAGCAGCAGCAGCCGCAGCCGCAGCCGCAGCACGGCGCGGGTGACATGCAGGGCTTCATCGCGGGGCGCGTGCGAGTGGCGGACTGCGACCCGCTGGCTCCGCCGTACGACTCCATGCAGGTGTACGCCTACGAGGGCGCCGGCTCGGCCGCCGACTCGCTCAGCTCGCTCAGCTCCTGCGCCGGGGACGCCGAGGGCCCCCCCGGCGGAGGGGGAGGGTCCGGGGGGGGCGCCGGCGGGGGGGGGCCCGACGGGGAGCAAGGCTACGACTTCCTGCACGAGTGGGGGCCGCGCTTCCAGCGGCTCGCCGAGATGTACGGCGCCGGTGACGACGACGTGCAGTGAAGAGGTGGAGAGGAGGAGGAGGAGGAGGAGGTGGTGGAGAGGATTGGAGGAGGAGGGGGGAGTGGGGGTTTAGTTGGGGTGATAATGATGATGGTGATGGTATGGGTGATCATGGTGGTTATCATGGTGGGTAGTGATGAAGATGATGGTGGTGGTGGTGGTGATGACGGTGATGATGATGACGGTGATGACGATGGTGTTTGCGGGGATGCAGTCGTTAGGGGACATTGAGGGCTACAGCCGGACGACGTGCGGGGGGGGGGGGTTGTGGGGGGGGGGGGCAGGGCCTGACGCCGTCACCTGAGCGGTGGCTGGGGGCTGGCCGTGAGTGAGCCGTGAGCCGAGTGGGGGGAGCGTCACGTGGCCTCGACTCACGCTGCCATAGGCAAACACGCCGGGGGGGGGGAGCACAGTCAAAGTGGACTCCGGCTGAGAAGGCCCCCCCCTTAACCCCAACCTTCACATCACGACTGGACACGCAGCGGCATCATCATCAGCAGCAGCAGCATCATCATCAGCAGCATCATCATCAGCAGCATCATCATCAGCAGGCTGAGAGAGTTGCGGCTGAGAGTTGCGGATGAGATTGTGGTGTGTGGCGAGCCCCCCCCCCCCCCCCCCGTGCCACACACGACAGCAAACCCCACCGCTCGCCACTGAGTGGCGGTGACGGCGCTACGGTGCCAGGCTAGGTGCATCTCGAGCCCTTCGCGTGAAGTGTGGAAGGATCTCACTGCTGCTGTGGCAGGAGGGGAAGGTCACGGGACAGACCCAGTGCGCCATGGGGTGCCTCGCGGAGGTGACTGGCAGACGCACCAGCCGTGCCCCCCACTGTGCCAACTAAGACACAGACACACACAGTAAGACACAAACAGACATACACAGTAAGACAAACACAGACACACACAGGCACACACACAGACACACACAGTAAAACAGACACAGACACACACAGTAAGACACAAACAGACATACACAGACACACACTGGCATACACAGTAAGACAGACACAGACACACACTGGCACACACAGGAAGACAGACATAGACACACACAGTAAGACACAAACAGACATACACAGAAACACACTGGCATACACAGTAAGACAGACACAGACACACACTGGCACACACAGGAAGACAGACATAGACACACACAGTAAGACATAAACAGACATGCACTGTAAGACAGACACAGACACACACTGGCACACACAGGAAGACAGACATAGACACACACAGTAAGACACAAACAGACACACACAGTAAAACAGACACAGACACACACAGTAAGACAGACACAGATACACACAGGCACAGACAGTAAGACAGATACAGACTCACACAGTAAGACAGACACAGACACACACAGTAAGACAGACACAGACACACAGGCATACACAGAGTAAGGGCACACACCCAGACATTTGACCAGCTGAGGCAGGTAGACATTCAGATTAAAGGACATGGCGACACACAGACCCGTGCCTGCGGGTGGTGGTCGTGGTTGTGATGATGCTAGTGGTGGTGGTGATGGTGGTGATGGTGGTGTTGGTGGTGGTGATGATGGTAGTGGTGGTGATGATAGTGGTGTTGGTGATGATGGTGGTGGTGATGATGGTAGTGATGGTAGTGATGGTGGTGTTGGTGGTGGTGGTGTTGGTGGTGGTGATGTTGGTGTTGATGATGGTGGTGGTGTTGATGGTGTTGGTGGTGATGGTGGTGTTGGTGATGGTGATGATGTTGGTGATGATGGTAGTGGTGGTGATGATGGTAGTGATGGTGGTGGTTGTGATGATGGTGGTGTTGGTAGTGATGGTGGTGGTGTTGGTGGTGTTGGTGGTGTTGGTGGTGGTGGTGGTGATGCCTGCCTGGGTTCGCCTCCCGGCCCGAGAGGCTCAGGCGATCTCCTCCCCCTGCTGCCCTCGCCGGCATCGGGCTGCATCGGTGCTCACCTCCTTGTTTACAGCCCTCCAGAGCCAGCGGTGGAAACTCCACATTCCTATGGCGGGGACTAAAGGCGAAGCTCTACCACATAGGACAGTCAACGACTTGTCGACGTACTCCCTTCCCCCTCAACTCAGTGGTACCTATTTTATCCACCACACGGAGATGATGGGACGAGTCAACTCGCCACCCGACCCTGCCCCCGCCGCCCGCCCAACCAGGATTTGAGCTTCCAAGTCCTGCAGTGAGCAGCACCGTGTTACCCTGCAACGTCACCACAACAACAACAACAACCGCCGTTCGCCACTAAGTGGCGGTGACGTCACCACGGCGCTTTGTGCCAGGCTAGGTGCACCTTACCCTGACCCCGTGCCTATCGTTTCCCTCACGGTGCCGGGTGCCCCCCGTGTCCAGGCGTAGTCGACCTGGGCCAGGGCGCTGCGAGTCGCGCGGACACGGGGGGGTGGGGGGGGTCCCGGAGCAAGCCAAGGGGGGCAGAGCGGACGGACGACTCCGCGAAGAGGGGGGCGAACCCCCCACGCCCCCCTCCCCCCGGCTTGGTGATGGCCTGAGCTGGTGATGGAAGCAGTCTCGGCCACAACACAGCCATGAACATCACTCAACCAGCTCCTCGCTATCGACCGTAGCTATTCTGAGTTACTTCGTTCTCATGATGATCGTGGTGATGATGTCGAGGATGTTATTTTGATAAGGTGCCTTAGGTTGGTTGTATGAGCATCATAGATCGACACACCCCCACCCCCAAATGGATCGTAGTCGTTGGTGGTGGTGGTGATGGTGGTGGTGGTGGTGATGGTGGTGGTGGTGAGGGCCGTGTCAGCGATCAGTGGCGCCCCATCGCGAGGCCGCTGAGGCTCAAGACGCTGCTGCTGCTGCTGCGAGCTCCTTCCGACACTGAATTCTCACGCAGAGAGATCCCCACCGACTGAAAGAGCCCCCACCCCCTCTCCCCAGCCGGCAGGTGTGTCGTGAAACGTCGGACGTCGCGCCGGAGCAACACGTGGCGGTTACAAACGCAACGCACCCCTCGGCGTGCGCGGGTGGGAGGAGGGAGACTCTGAGCGAGACGCCAGTGGGCAGGTAGAGGGAGCACGCCCACCACCGCCACGATCGCCGTGGGCGTTTCCGGAGCAGAGCTCCGCGTTTGTGAGACCCTCGGGCATCTTTGCTTTAACCGCGTGGGGGGGGGGGGCACACGGGGGACAGCAGCGGACGCGAACGGACGCGATATTTTTTGTAGAACGGGAGTTACACCTCAGAAACTTTATTTTTTCTCACAACAGCCGAGAGGCAGCTCCCATCCGGGCTGCTGCTGTTGCTGCTGCTGCTGCGTCTTCTCAGTGGGCACGCAGAGCGAGGCGGAGACCTGGAGGAGGGGAGGGGGCCACGAGTCGCCGGGTGACACGGGAAGTCGGACCCGGCACAGGCGCACGTGCGCGGACACGCACTCAGCGATCTCGCGAACCAAAAACAGCGACCGTGGAAGCGGCGTCCCGGCGAGCTCGCGAGTGGAACCTTCGCCGCGGCTCCCGCCAGTTTACAGCCGCCACGGGCCGGGGAGGGCTGGGGGCTCAGGCCGCTCTCGCCCCTCCTCGAGCGGTCAGTTTTAAAATAATAATAATAATCGCGTCTTTAATGTCAACGAATTCTGGTCAAGAAGACGGCAATCGGCAACACACCAGTCGCATATACCACTCGACTATTTATCGATAGCTATTTTTTAAAACAGAGATCTATAAGGTCGACGTTTGAGTCCTCGTTCGGGCGCACGTGCGTCTCGGAGTCACGTGGCGTCTCGGAGTCACGTGGCGTCTCGGAGTCACGTGGCGTCTCTTTCTATCTCAGGGTCCCCGCGCGTTCTCACAGCGAGGGCGGGCTGGGCGGGCTGGGCGGGCACGGCGGGCAGGGCGGGCTGGGCGGGCGGGGCGGGCGAGCGGGGCGCCCCCCCCCCCACCGCCCTGCCCGCCCGCCCGCCCGCGGTTCTGGTTGCCTGAGACTCTCAGACCACCGGCATGGAAGGCGAACTTGAACATTCAGGTCCCGTGCCCTTTTCAGTGCGTGTGGTGGGTGGGGAGAGGGAAGGGTGGGGGGTTGTTTGACCATACTTCACCACGCTGGTCAGTGCGGGTTGATGATGAACGGGGGTGTGGAGGGGGAGACGCCCTGAACCGGTTCGGGTCTCGCGCCACTGCTGTGAGCCGCGCCTTCTGGGGGGGGCGGATCCTCGGCTCGCCCCCGGTGTTTATTTTGCGCAATGCGCCCGTGCGTCACCACGGGGCGCCCCAGAGGTGCAGTACAACAGCGAATCTTAACGTCACTTCCATTTCCCCTCTGCTGCCCACCACTCAACCCCGAGTGACGATAACTAGCTATTATAATCGCCATCAATGAATTATATTGTTGGCATCATCGCTTCGTTAATCTGTGTTGTTGTACCGTTCTTTGGTGAGTGGTGGGCAATTCTCATGCTAAAGAAATGGGGTTTGTCGTGCGGGCGCGGTGGGGGTGCTGGTGGGGGACATCGTGGGTCACTTTTATTTTCTCCTCCTCGACGCGTCGTGGGCCAAACCCGGCCCGCGACTTCGCTCCAGCCGCCGATGGGGTGGGGGGGGTCGGTGAGAGTCAGCGTGAGAGTCCGAGGTTCGAGTTTGGGGGGTGAGGGTCAGTGCTGGGGAACCGTTTGAAAAACAACGGATTTGTCGGGAACGGAACTCATCAGCGGCTCCCGTTGCTGTCCCTGCCTGCGGCCGCCAGCCGGTCTTGTTTACACTGCCCCCAGGGGGCTCCACAGCATCACCCGGCCGGCAAAGCGCCGCCTCCCCCTCCTCTTCTTCCCCACGCCGCCCGCCCTCCACAACAACATTGACGCTTTATTATTTGTTGGCTTTGCTCGCATCCCATCGTGCGCACAGCATCCCTGCCGGGAGCGCACTCAGTCGGAGCGGCGTGTTGGTTCGACAACAAAGCACAACGCTGGGAAGGGTGTTCTGCTGATGAGAACACCCAGGATCGAAACTGGCCCAGGCTTTTATTTTTAGTAAATAAAGAACTCACGGTGATGTTGTTTACCACCCAAAAATGAAAAAAAGCAAAAACCTCAACACAAGCAAAAACTCTCGACCGG